CTCAGTCTGCAAAGGAGCTGATTGAAAAGGAACCGGGTAAATGTTCTGTTAAAATGTGTCTGCTGTTCTACATGAAAATCTCTAACGGTAAGTACATTTTGCCAGTATGTGAAAAACCTCTCCAGTTTTTAAGTTAACATTTAGATAAAGTACATTGGAATATAATTTTACTGTATGGCATTTATTAATATTTTCAAACTTACTCAATTTCAATGTTAAATATTCTGATTCAAAATGTGTTTTTCAGGAGAATTGATAGTTTGAGCTTGTAGAACCCAATTATTTAATCAGGTTCACTTCCTGTTTGGAACAAAGCAGACATTCAATAAACGGAGCTTCCTTACTTGTAGTTCTACTTTGACCGTAACAAATTAGAGTTAATAATATACATTTCCTTAATAGTGTCCTCCTGAGCTTGCACTATTTTTATTGTTTTTTAAATTTATTTTATGTCCTATGCATATTTATTTATGTTGCATTGTTGGAAGAGCCTGGGACTGAACTGTCTCACTGCATATCCACACTGTAGCTAGTGTGCCTATGATAATAAATACATTTACATTTAAATAGCTAACTCAACCCAATCAGTCGAAGTAACTTCAAAGAAAAGTTTACAGTACTGTATGTTAACATTGATTTACATGTTTTGACAGAATTGGGGCCAATAAATCGTTAAAAAAAAAGGACGATGCTGAGTGTCGTGAAGATCCGTGTCCTCCATGAAGTGCAGCAGAAAGAAGACGCCACACCTCCCAACGTGTACATCGAGCGATCGGAGGGGCTTGATGAGTGTAAATGTTTGGCAAAGACCATTTTTGAGGTACTTGAGAATTGTCTTTTCATTGCACTTTATACTCCACTACCAATCAAAGGGAAATATTGTACTTTGTGCTTCACTAGATCTTATATAGAGTATATTAAGTATACGGTTCTGTTCTGTTATTTTAAATATTGTTTGTAATTCTTATAAATTTTTTGCTTTTACAGTTTATTTTGTTAATATTGGATTTTTTACTATAGGGTGTAATACAGAAACAGCATCAAGCTAATTACTATTTACTTAAGTAACATTTTCATTACCAGACTTTCACTTGTAATAGAGTATTCTTACAGTGTGGTATAAATATTTTTGACTTAAAGGTTACCTATCATGCTATTTTTAGGCATTAGTATAGGTCTCAGATATATACAAATATATAAAAAACATGTCTATGAAGTGTTTTGCTCAAAATACCAAACATTCAAGCCATGCCTCATATCCCTCTATTTCACTTCCTGTTTCAACAGTGCTGATTTTGGGTATAAAGCTTTAAAAAAAAAAGATACAAAAAAAAGGAGGGGGCTGAGCTCATGCGGGACATGCTACCGGCAGATGTCTCAACCAGGGGTGCCCAACCTTTTTTGAACCGAGAGCTACTTTTAAAGTTGCCAGTCTGCCGAGATCTACCAGTCCAAATAGAGAGGCGTAGCCATTACTGACAGCCTACTACCGGGTAAATACACACTTCTACTTGTATAAAACTGACCTTTGTACGATTAATACTTCATAAAATACTGCAGATCCTTTATCTTACCGTAGTTTTGTACCATAAAGATAAAGCAACACATTCTCAGAATAAAGCAAAACTATCAGTTTAAAAGAACAACAAACTGAGTCAAGCAAAATAAAATAAATTTCTAAAATAAAACTATAAGTTGCAAACAAATCATTTGTGCAATCATGTTTTTCTTTGTTTTAACATATATTTTTGTTTGCAGTTCTCTTTGCTTCTTTCTCAATGATCGGACTTTTGCTCTCGCTGCAGCTCTTCTCGTTTGCGCTCCCTCATTTTTTGTTTTCGATTTTGACACAAACATCCCAGGTGGGCGGGACTTTCGGGGGTGCGTCCCCATTGGCTACTCAGGTTTTGAGTGACAGCCCACTACACCTCAGATGATCATACAGTGCAACTCATGCAGCAAACTCCGGAGTCCACTCGGCCACGTTAGTGTCGGTGTCTCCTGGGGAGTTTTCATGAACATATCGGACTCATCTTATGGATTGCTGTGCATTATACTTGTGTTGTGTAATTTATACTTTATTCCAACTTTAAATATTGTAATACCTGAACACACTGCTGCTGTAAAATAATTTCCCAATTTGGGATTGATAAACTGTCTGTCTATTTATTTTATAGATAAAAAAAACACATCTATGTATTTTCAAGCTAAAGGTGATACACAATATAAACTGTATACTGTTATTCTTTCAAAGACATGTTACATTTCAAAAGCATATATTGCTATGTTTAGGACAAACAATTAAAGACTGCTTTAATTTAACAAATTCTACAATATAAAAGTGGCAGATTTGCTTTATTAAACAGACCAGACCTAGGCTGCATACCAACACAATTAGGAACATGCTCACATCTTACTATGTTGGTCTGAAGAGCTGAAGCATTCACACACAATGGATACAAACTGTGTTGTCTCATTCTATACCCTGTGAGAAAATGATATACATTTAGCATTAAAAATTCGACATACTATTCCTAGCCTGAGGAAGATATGAATAATCAACAGATTTGAATGGAATCTCTAATATTTTCATGTAGAATAAAGACAAAAGAATGATTATACAAATTACATTTATTGAAATTTAAACCAGAAGATGAAGTCTCAAAGAATGTTTTAAATGAAAGGACATAAAACAAAAGGTGGATAATAATAACATCTATTAAATGTATATGTAAAGACATTAGGTCAAATGAAATGACACTGAGCCAGTGATAACAGTAACGCCAGCGTGGTGCAGGTCTCTCTTCATGCCCCCCCCTCTGTGCTGTCCCCTCAGAAGAAGTGGGAAAACGGGATAAGACTATTGACACCACACTGTCTCAATGATCCACACTGTTAATATGAGAGGAACATAAATGTTTTAGGAAAT